CAAGCACACAAGCAAAATGCTCAACACCAATAGGTAAAGGTAAAACAATTACTATGCACAGTTTCACTTAGTGATTGGTCGCCCTCAGACCAAACCGTAAAACTCGATGCAGGGTCCATCTCATATGAGCAAAAAACGATTACTATTTCAAAATATAATCATAAAACCAAACTTCTCTACCTCATACATATATGACTTGCCACAATCTTTAAGCGTATATCATTTTGAAACCATTCGGTACAAACTGTATGATTTTCAATCAAGGTATTACTGTCGACACAGGCTCAGCTTCTCGTTTTTTATTTGCAAAATTCTTACTCTCCTTTTCTCTTTTATCCTCTTCAGGCTGAACTTCTCGTTTTTTACTTGCAAATTTATTACTCCCCTTTTCTCTTTCATCCTCTTCATCAACATCATCATCCACATATATAATACCTTCATCCTCACCGTCCATTTCGCCCTCATCATCATAATCCTCATCATCATCCTCATCATCATCATAATCCTCCTCATCATCATAATCTTCATCTTCATCATCCTCATCATCTTCATCTTCATCATCATAATCCTCGTCATCATCATCTTCATCATCATCATCGTCATCTTCTTCATCATCTTCATCTTCATCTTCAGCATCCTCGTCACCATACAAAGTATGATACTCGGGAGGGGGAAGACATTCCTCAGTCTCGGCCTTATCTTGCTTCATCACGAGGTGGCGAATGACCCTTTCGTCCTTGTCCAACATGCTCTTGAACTCGTTTATCGATTTAGCCTCGAGCTCAAAGTTCATGAGGATGTAATGGGCGTTATCGGCTTTTTTTATGGGGTACGCAAGGCTGCGCATGCCCCAGTCGCTGAACCTCCATAGCTTGCCATTCTTCTCCTTCAAGAATTCTGTTGGGAATATACGAAATTACCCCTTAGTGGTTTCACTTCAATATAGATATATTTGGATAACGGGAAACATACCAAATCACAATAGCTAGTAAAATAACTAGGAAAATTTCAAAGACTGCAACTAATGGCTCAAAAATGTCAGAGTGGAGCATAGGAAATTTAAGTTCACCTTGAATTTTGATATGGGATTCTCACGTGCATGTATAACAAACTCCACTTTTTATAATTTTGAGAAATATCAAATGGTGTTAGCAATTTTGAGAGATAGTTATGTTTTATAATAAAATTTTCAACATATTTCTTTTTTCTTTTTATAATTAAGTCGAGAACAATGAAGAAAGAAAATGGGCAAAAATTAGCATCCAAAGTAAAACAAAGTAACACTTCCCCATTTCTCGCTATTTTAGCGTTCTAGAATATAATGAACACAGAACATTATTAAAGTACAGGTAAATATTTGAAAACTGTTTGAAATTGTACGAGGAAGCTAAAATCACCTTGAACTTTGTTATTGACATTCTCAACCTCTTCCTCGTGATCCTCATGGATCAAATACACCACTTCATAGTGCCGCACTGCACAAAACACAAAAATTCAACAACATTGATCCCATCTCAATTACAACAACAAAAATACACAACATGTGCAAAATGAAAGAAACACTATCTACTACTCCTTTGAGCACTTCAATTACATTGAAATAGATTATAGCAACATTATATTTACGAATCACGTGGAAACTAACAAAAAGTAGGTAAATCTCTCACTTTCGTCCAATTTCAGATCACTTTCGAGCGTCAGTGTCAAGGCCTCATAAAGCTCACCTGAAAATTAGATCAACTCATCCTTCAGATCTAATCTTTCATTAAAAACATGTAAAATAAGAAAACAAATGGCTACTAAGAAAGGAGAATTATGAAAATTGACTAGAAGTACTCACGTTCTTCCTCATCGGCGAACTCTGGCATAAGCCTACCATTTTCCTCGACCTTTTTCTGCCAGGAATAATCACAATTCACAAGTGCTTTCATCATAATACAATTTGTGGAAAATGAAAAATGAGGAAGAGGCATTACGATTTATTAATTATAGAAAGTTCCATGAGCACAAACAAGAACTATTGCCATTTTATCATCCTCAAAATGCTAAACATTCAAAGCAAACATCTTAGAGTGACAAGTAACCTAGTTCTCATCAACTCTTGTATTACAAAACCAATTCTAAATTGAATCTGTAAGACATATCCCTATACATCTAAACCTAGTATACATCGAGATCCTCTTCACATCACAAATTTCAAAAAACCAATATTCAAAGAACCCAACCCAAGAATACACATTTAGGGATAAATAAAAAGCAAAAATGTATTATAAATGCCAAGCACTCCAACATCAGTGAAAAAAACCAAAAGATTGACTGACAACAAACTATAAGCACAAACATATCCCACAAGAACAGAACAAGAAAATTGGGATTTTTTCTACAACACATATAAAAGAGAAAAAAGACACAAACACATTCCACAAGGACAGAAAAACCCAAAGATTGAAACAAACTACAAACACGAACACATCCCACAAGATCAAAACAAAAATATTACGCTTTTTGTTCTTACAAATACAAATAAAAGAGAAAAAAAAAACAAGAAACCTCTTTTAGGAGCACAGCTTCAGGAAAAGTGCCCGTGGATTCGTCGGGCCTGGGATAGAAGCTGTGCTCATTTTTCCTTTTATTGATGTTTTTGTTTTCCTTTTTAGCTGCTGCCATTATTGTTGAGTTGCCTCGAAACCTCAACCTCTGCGCACAAGAAAATGGAAAAACGCGAGAAAATGTACAAGATGAAGTAGCTTTGCTCCCATTGGCTGAAGCCCATGAGCGATTTCTGCTGGTAAGCGTGAAGTGAGTAAATTTCAGTGCAAGTGAATCCATTTTTCCTCTGTTCTTCAGCAGTGCATACTAATACCAGATAAGGAATTTGAACTTCAAGCTCAAGGGTTTAGAAAGGGCAGCAAGGGCGGGTTTGTAAATGTAAACAGTATGAGTGGCAATTATGGAATTCCACAACATATAAATTTAGTTGATAAATTAGCTAAAATGTCATAGCCAAAACTCATTCTCAAACTCATTGGCAATGACTGTCGAATTAAACAATAATTTTTCTCCTATTAAAAAACTCATTCTTAAATTTATTTTGTAGTAACTGTACCATCAAACATTAATTCTTCTTCAACTATTCTCAAACTCAAAAGAATACTGAATATTCTCTCACATGAACTTTTGCACATTTTCAATACCACACACATATTTAAAAGATTTATGAATTAGACATAATATATTTTATATTCAATTTTAAAAAAATATAAAATAATTTATTACATATACATAATTTGTACACATGCAAAATAGTGAAATAAATATTTTTATAATAACCCAAAATTATTTTTTCTTGCTTAACTTGAAAAAATATTTTATAAATATTGTATGAATTTATTGCCAATCTCTTATTAGAATTTTGATAAATTATTTGTATAAATTTTGAAAAAAAAATATTGATATTGTTACCATTGTTGGATTGAATTGTTATGCATAATTATATATATAGTTTCTATGATATTTCATAGTTTTAGTGTAATTCATCATTGGTACTTAAATATATGTACATAGATATACATTAATAATATATGTATAAAGGAAAAGAAAATAATTGCTTTAGAAACTATCCTAACTTTTATATTAATAATATATATAATAATAATTGTTTAAAAGTTATCATAGAAGTAATATATAGGTCAAGAATCTCGCTAAATATAAACTAGTATTTCATCGGATTTGCTATGGAGCCATCAGATGGTTCGGCTTTTGGAGTCATCCATAGTTATTCACAAATAGTGCATTGACACGTGTCCTGCATTAAATACACATGGGACACATGTCAGTCCATAAAGTCATGAATGGCTCCGTTATCCGATGGCTCCATAGAATTATCGAGTATTTCATACCGTTAATCGCATTTTTGCGTTCTTTCGGCCAAAAAAGATGGGATAACGCAAATTGAGGTGGAGCAATTTGGGTTTGTGTTTGCGTATGAAGCTTGATTTGGAGAAGGTCTAATCTAGTTTTGAACTATGATAAGAGCATCTACAATGTATTAAGTCTATTTTGTCTGTGTGACACGTAAATAAACCCAACGCTTGAATGACATGGATAAAACTATATAAAATTAACAAAGTTTACTCCAATGCAAAGAAACTACGAGGTCTCTAAAATAGACTTAAGTAAATCGAGTCTTTTTTTTTTTTGCTGTCACGTCAGCAGACCCCCTCCACTTACACTAAACGGAGAATATATTTTTCTAGTTGAGATCTATTTTCTAGGCGTCATATAAATTTTATTGAATGAACTCAAATCCAAAGTATTTTGGATAAAATATTTAATGGTGTGTTCATGTTTTTAGTCGATTAAATACTAGAGGAAATTACACCCCACACTAACATAATTAATTTGTTTAACACTTTTGGGCCTATTAAGAGACTATTTATAAAATTACCAAAAGAAGCTAAAATATTTTCAATTATACCTACAATATAATTTAACTGTTACAAACGTGTTATCTGCACATTAAAAGGAAAGGTGATGTTTAATTGATTTTAAAGATATACTTAACTAAAAATTAGGAACAAAAAAGGAATTCTCCAACCAAAAACCCCCACCGCCCCATCTCTGCAAATCTGCAAAAAGCGCTCCGAAATCTCCCCCAAAATCTCCACATCTCCGACTCCGCCTTCAATTTCTCCGGCGACAACTCGTTCGCCACCTCGCTGCCGACGAGGACGCCTCCTTCCGCCTCGTCGATACCTCGTCCAAATCGCACCACTACAACCCCAACCGCTCCAAGTTCAACCCAATCTGAATTTACGGAGGATTATAATTGCTCCAAAATATCAATGAGGTTCTGCAAATAACTTCTTCGAAAGTTGATCCAAATCAAGCTGCACACTTTTCTGTAATACAACTTGTAAAATGCCCAATTCTATTAAAAGAAAAAAAAATGAAATACAGTGTGAATGCTTATCTCCTTCAGTTTTGAAGAAAGTCGATCTCCTTCTGTACAGTATATGTTTATCTCCTTCAGTTTTAGACGATAGTATAAATGATTTGACAAAGTATAAATGATTTTTCCTGTGTATATGTATGGTTTATATTTAGTATATTTTCGGTATATGATAAAGAAATTTATCGCGAGTTTTTTTCTGTGTATATGTATGGTTTATATTTACTATATTTTCGGTACATGATAAATAAATTTATCGCGAGACATAATTTTTATGTATAAAATTAATTTATATTCAACATAAACTGATTATTTTTTTTTTTTTGTTATGTATATGTATGGTTTATATTAAGTAACATGTTATATTATGTTTATAAACTATATATATACTTTTATGTATAAAAGTTAAAAAAAAAGGAAGACATAATTTTTTGATGGAAGACATGTTTTTCATTGCAACATATACTGAATATATACTCACATAAACAAAAAATATACCACCTGACAGGTGCGTGGATTAAGGAATTAAGGAATTCCAACTGCGCACATATACTGAATATATACTAACATAAACGCAAAATATACCACCTGACAACTGCGTGAATTAAGGAATTCACGTTACAAATTAAGGAATTAAATGAGTCAATTTCTCTCTCTTATGAGTCAGCTATAATTAAGGAGCTACAATTAAGGAGCGTTTTATTTATATGGTTAGTTACATGAGGTATACTTATAATAAAATCTTAGATTTTAGGTATAGATAAAATTAAATTTGTCCCACTAGTAAAAATGCAATATTTTACAATTCTAACGGGATGAGTGAAAATTTCCCTAAATACTATCAATTAACTTGTCTCTAGTCCTATTCAGTATTCTGATTGCTTTTTTAGGCAGTTTGTACAATCTTTTGGCACTAATGAGTATATAAGTTCCAATTTCACAATAATGAACCATAAATACCTACTTTCAGGCAGTTTGTACAATCTTCTGGGACTAATGAGAATATATGAAATTCCAATTTCACAAGAATGAACCCTAAATTTTGCAGTTTCAGAACACAAATATTTGACTGCTACACAACAATGCTGCTTCTCATTCGAGCATTGAGCCGGGAGCACTTCCTCGGCCCATTTTTGAGACCGCACACACAATTCCCGAGCACCTCATAATCCTCATCCCAAAACAATTTAGACGCCTTTTCTGGGTTTTCTAACAGCAGTTTTGAGGTCAAGTAGCCAGCAATTGTCCATGTCTGGTAAAGCCGGGCCTGTTTCCCCACAAACCTCCCATGCCTGGTGTCATAGTATTCGGGCCACTGATCAACCGAAAGCCTTTTCTCAGCTAAGCCCAATGCTTTTTGGGCCAGATCCAGTTTTCCCATCTTAATGCATGCCAACGTGAACTGAAATGACAAACGCCGATTTTTTCGGGCAAGAAAAAAAAAAAAAGGTTAATCGAGCTACTGGATGATTTGATAAATCTATATGTAGTAGATTATGTAAAATATTTCTAGTGTAAATAGCAACTTCATATATAGACTAGCACTTTTATATTCAAGTATTGTAATTTTGCAGTATTGGCCAAAGTATAAATAGGGATTTCTCTTTTGTAACAATCCTCCCATTATTCATTCTGACTGAATAACAGAACCCTAATTTTCCTTTTCTACTCTCGATTATGATCCTAACAATATGGGATCCCTTTGCTGAGTTAACAACAGAAAGTAACCTTAACATGTGATCATCCAACTACAAATAAACTCAACTAACTCTCGATCTTACGAAAAAAGAAAACCCGGAACTATGTTGTTTCTAACAATTGACCCTACATACTACATAGGCAAAAAAATCCGGCTTACGATACTCAATTTAACATTTTACCAAAGTCGAGGGATGTCTTGTAGTTCTTCAAGTAGTGACATTCCTATTATCAGATCAAATTTGAAGGGTAAGTTTTGTAGTTTCTTACTAATAGACAAACTTTCCTTTTTCTTTTTTTAATTATCAAGAATGACCTGATCACATATCACTAAAAAAGAAAAAAATAAAAATAAAAATTCATTACCTGCCACAAAAGCGTCGGCCACGACCCACCATTGTGATAAGACCACGGCCTGCACAAAACAAACGTTCACTTAATCCAACATACACAGAAAAAATAAAAAAACACACACACACACACACACACACACATCTTTAAAAGTATATAAAAATCGCCTTACGTATTCTTAGGGTCACCACCCACAATTATCCGCCACTCCTCGTTTTCCAAAGCCGGGTAACAAATCTTGATCGGCATTCGCCCGACTAAATCATCCCACTTCTCCTCGACCAAACTCATAATCCCTTCATTCTGTTCATGCGTGCCCAGAGATGAAACCACCGACCAAATATTCCCGAGTGTAAAGAATCTGAAGTCCATGTGAGCTGGCTGCAAGTTTCCCATGAAATATCCACCTGACTCAGGAATCCAGTCCATGAGCCAGCCTGGAATCTGGTCCGGATAGATGTTGAACTTGTTTGCAGCCTCTGTTGAGTATTCCTCGGTTTTGTAACGGTAAATCTCGTTTATTTTGTTTGCCTCCACCCAATAGTATTCTCGTATGTGGAATAAGAGGGCGCTGAGCCGGTTTTTGAGGGCCAAGATTAGGTCTTTTGTCGAGTCGTTGACCGTGAGCATCTCGCCAGAGCAGCGCAAGGCCGAGTAGAACAGAGCCTACGAGTCGAAAGAAAATGCATTTATAGACCAAATACAGTATTTCAGTTTTTTTTTTTTATTTAAATTACCATCCAAACACATCCTTGGAACTCGTTCTTACGCGTACACAAACAGTGTTTGTTCCACATTTGTCTCTAGAAATAGAAAATCTTGCCAATGGAGTCGGGCAAGCAAACTTTTCAAAAAATGTGAAAGAACACATGCAAAAGTATGTAAATATACACGCACAACGGACTTCTGCGGATGGAATTTACACATTTGCCTAATATGTTTGGCAAAAAAAAATATTAGTCAACTTCTAGCTGCATGAGGTTATTCATTTTGAATACTCCAAACAGAGGCAGATTCCGGACTTCAATGTGGGGATGGGGGACAATTAGTTAAGGGATCAAAATAATTGTTAACCATAGAAAAAAAAAAAATAGAGTGAGAATTGAAGTAATGTTCATCATTAGCATGAGAATTATACTAGATGAATGTCAAAATGAGGAGAAATCAAAGTGGCTATAGGTTGGTCATGAGAGCAAAACGAAAGGAAATAAAGAATTGAAGTGTTGAAAAATGTGCTGACAAAGAAAGAAGGCCAAGAAAAGGGAAATAGTCACTACATGCACCGAGTCATCAGAATACAACAAAAATAAAAAGAAGGAAATGGAAATTAGTTGTAGCATTTGATCTTGAGTCTACCATCAAGTAATGCTATAAAAAGATACGAAAAAGTTCATATATAGCCTCTGCTACCAATCACGAGGCACATGGCCGCAAACATTACATTCAAAGTTGCAAAATTCGTATCTTAGCATTGGAATTTCTTTCACTCACTTGAATCTCGAGAGGGTGTCCATGAATTCCCATCCTACGGTCAATCATGCAAGAACCATCAGTCACCAGCAGAGTAGGAAACATGTCAAAACCATCTGTTAGGCATAAATTTAATATCAATCGAATCCCTGTCTGCACGTCCACTCTCTCTTGCAAACTGTAGTCACCAGTGATTTTTCCATAGGCTCTCAATAAAATAATCCACCACAGCCCTGTCCAAAAGTCGTAAAAAAAAATAATAATTAAAAAAAAAAAACATGGTATAAGAAACTCATGGACAATTTATTATGCTTAGCCTTCATTTGACTCTACCTGAATCAACGGGCGCTACTCGTCCAATAGCTGCTTCGCCAAAATCCGGATCTAAAACATCCTCAAATTCCCCATCTCGCCCTTCGAGGGGCATGCTTCTAATCTTGAAACTTGCCGGCATTAATCCTTGCCCGGGACTATAGCAATCTACAGTCTTTTCCCAACTCTAATTTCAAGACCGCAAAAATTAAGTTCAATTTTAAGCACATGATGCAAAACCCACAAATAATAATGATAATAAACAAAAAAATAAAAAATGATGACACAATTAGTCACCTGTAGCTGTAGAGTATGGAGCAAAAAGTTCCTCACTATCTCTCCCTCTCCATTGAGCAAGAAGGCAAGAGCAGATGGAACAAAATCGCGAATAAAGACTTGATCATAATTTAACGGTTGCTTATCAGCTGGATCATTAGCAGCAGCCACAGTCCCCACAGGCTTCCCACAATAGTTAACGACAGCCGCTCGAAGCAAATCCCACGCCTCTTTTTCAATCTCCGACACATTTTTCCCAACAGCCAACCTCGAAATTTCACTCTCTTTATTCAACTGATGGATATTTTCATATGAACCATTATCTCCATTCACATTATACTTTTTTTCTTTCCTTTCATCTTTTCTAGCCGAGTCTTTTCGGGTGCTTTCTTCCCTTTCGGTGATCAAGGGCTTCACACTGAAACCACCTTGTATGTATATCTTCTCAAAGCTATTCCCTTTTACACGGGACTCAACGGAATTCGAGTGGCCCCTTATGTTAGATCCTACATTTGCTATTACATTTCTAAATTTACAGTTCTTCCCAATCTCATTAGAAGGGAAAACCCTAGATCGAACCCAATTTGAACCGGAGCTACAAAAAAACCTCCGGTTTGGGTCTACCACACTCCTAAATCCTAACTCATTGTTTTTATTTAAACAATTTGCTTCCGTTGCACCAATCATTTGTGATATCGACGAATTAATGTTGGTAAAATGACCAAATTTCACAAGTGGGCATAAAAAAGATGAATTTCTGCCCAAAATCAATACACTACAACAGGGCCTCACACTGGAAATTCCAAAACAGCTCCCAGTGTTCATTTTTTTTCAAAATGCAGTCAAAGAAGAGAAAATCTTTAACCAGCCCTCAAACAAGGCTCAACCAAACTAAAGAGCAGGTTAATTCTTTATTCTAAAAATCAGTTCTTTGAGCTGATTTGTGCCCAAGATTTGATTTTTATACCTCCCAATATACTTTAATATGATATTGAGATCTTAAAAATGGAAATCTACAGAGTATGTTATGAATGTTTAAGAATATATCTATACAGCCCAGCTTCTGTTAATTAAAAAAATGCAACTAACAGATGCTGATCAAGTACATACGTAATAAAATAAAAACATTTAATCCAAGATGCAAGAAATCAAGCAAGAAGAAAAGTGACTTACAATGTATGCTCTGCGAGAGAAAATGACTCTGAATAGTTGAGGAAAATGGGTGCTGAACTTGGGCAGGTTAGAGGGGATTATATAGGTACAGAATGTGGGAAGGTTCAATGAATTGATGCGTATGGTACAAGCATGAAAAAGCACAAGTGGTGGAAGTGTCGAAATTCCATCTTTAGCCTTCCACGTGTTATGCGAATCTTATTTGTTTCTGCAATTTTACGTTTTATTATACTCGTAATATAAAGTCTTTGGAATTCATGATAGACTATGTCATATGGACGACTCTACACGTGGTTTGTTGAAATATCAAATAAAATTTCACTTTTCTTCTTTTCAATTGCATAGACACGCTTGTGAGGGAAAAATACATTACCACACGTATATAGAAAATGAAATTAATTAACATTTTAAATATTTATTAAAGTGACTAAAATAAAATAAAATGTAAATAATAAATCACTACAATTATAAACAAATCTCCTAATGTAATTTTGTAAGAGGTCATTAACTGGGAATAAATTCGAGCACTTATGGGCAATCATTAATTCTATAAACATATCCCAAATTAAGCATGTACCAACAACACCACTATTCGCAAATTTAGAGAGAAATAAAAGGGCAGTTATGGCAAAAATATTTATCTGTCTGAAAAGCCCAGTGCAAAACGCTCCAGATTTGAGCGTTTTCAATTTTAGCTGTTAGAACAAAAAAGCTAACCTCAAAAGCTAATTACCAAACATCTTTTTTATTGAATTTGAAAAAGTCAAAACGCTAATTTACCCAAAAAGCTAAGGGTATGGTTGTTTATGAAATAATTTGTTCAAAATTTGGTTAATTAGAGTTAAATTTGAAAAAAGTGGTAGGGTTAGTTATTAGTGGGATTTTAATAATATATTAAAATAATATTTAAAATAAAATGATTATTAATGATTTGATGTAAAAGTAGGATATAAATGATTGGAATGATTGAAAATGATAGGTAGTTAAAATTATGTGAGTGGATGAATAGTGTGTTGATATCAAGATAGAATATCTTGATATTAAGATTAAATTAGAGAAATCGTGAAGTTGGATCCATAAATTGGATTCTAGACGACACCAAATAGGACATATTGTACCTCGGTAATCTCATCTCGGAATTCGTAAATGATACCGTAGAACCTTCGGGAGTCATCAACACAAGTCGTCTGAACCTTGAAAAAGGCCAACTCGGTCCAAGAATTATTTATTAATAAGTCGTAGAGTATTGAAGATCTATCAAAATACCGACATCGCAAGACGAACCGACTTTGTTCCGACAGATGTGACACTCGTCACACAGATAGAGGCGCGCCCATGCTAATCATTGCCTAAAAAGTTCTTCTACGTCATCGCCGCCCCTAAGACGTCAAATCTTCATTAAAACGGGAATGATTTGTCTAGGGATGTGTGCCAGACATAACTATAAATAGCAGCTCCAAAGACGAGAGAGGGGTTGGAAAAAAGATCATACACACTCATATATTCAACTCGGCTATCTCACTGTAAACCGACTTGAAATACATTGAAAAACTGACTTCCCTGTATTGAAACCGACTTCAGAATATTCAATAAAAATCTCATTTTCTGCAATCTTTTGTGTTAATTTTACATTGTTAACGTTGATTAAATCCGTTTATCAACATTTTGGCGCTAGAAGGAGGGCTCCATAAGATATTTGGAGTTAATTTTCGAAATATACACACCACATCGCATAAAATCAAGAATGTCGCAGTCCGGACAAGACAATCCAACAACCATGGGAAGTGCCGTTCGTGTTGTTGAACCACCAACCGGTCAACATAACCCAGTACCTGTAATGCCAGACATCACCCTGCTCATGCAGAACCCTGAATTTGCTCGTGGACTCACTGCTCTGGTGGCCCAAACCATGCCGGGGCCATCACACAGGATACCAGGACAACCTTTCGCTCCTATAACTCCGGCGAGACAACAAGGTTCTCCCATACAAAGGGATAACAATAATCAAGCGGCGTCCCATGCCACTTCACAGCCACGTGATAATAATCCACCCCCTCAACCGGCGAACAACGTATTGCCGGCAGAAATGAACCAACCAGAGATGAATCAACCAGAAATGGTTGCTGAAAGTAACCCTCGGCATGCTGAAAGTTATCCTCGGCATGTGCCCAGAATTCCTCATGCGGCTCGTTCATTATTTCAACAAACCGAGAATCCGGCTGACCTGAGAATGCAGATTGAGCGTAATCGTTGTGCTCGACGTAATGCTTCCGAGGTCGAGACGTTAAGACGAAAGGTGGCAGAGTTGGAAGCCAGACAAACCACTCAAATCAGGCCTTATCAGCATCCTCACGTGCCAGAATCGGGCCATGTCTATATGGAAGTCGGTTCTCCCCTAGCAACCGAGTTGACCAGAGGTCCGTTACCGGGAAAAGTCAAAGTCCCCCAAATTGGCCTCTACGACGGAAACGCTGATCCTGATGCCCATCTCGGACATTATACGTCATGGATGGACTTGCATGGTGCTGACGATGCTTTACGATGTCGTATGTTTTCCTTAACCTTAGGTCCTAAAGCTCAGAAGTGGTACTATTCACTACCGACTGAATCGATCAGATGTTGGGGTCAACTCAGATCAGCTTTCAGGTCCCATTTCATCGGGGCTCAAATTAGCTTGATACCTAAGGAATCAATCACGAACATAGTCCAAAAGGAGGATGAAAGTTTAAAGGATTATATTGCACGTTTTAATGAACGTGTGCAAAACATGGAACCTTGTCATCCAGAGACACTCCTTGTCTCGGCAATCTCTGGATTAAAGCCAAGATCCATGTTTCGCTGGGCGCTATGTCAGAATAAACCCAACACCTTTCAAGAATTCCTTGTTCGCGCTCAACAACATGTTATTGCCGAAGAGTCCATGTCGGTTCCGAGCTTCGATTTCTCCCCATCAAAAGAACAGAAGCCGACTTTTGAAAACAAGAAAAAGAAGCACCTCGGCAACTCGTCCAAGAATTCACCTTTCAAAGAACCGTATAAAGGAGAACAGAACGATACCGACATAAAAGCTGCCAGGAGACAATACAAGGAAGATCTAACCACAGGTTACCGATCCATCTACTCGGTCGGTGCCGCAACGGTGTATCAAGAGATCAAAGGAAAAGGAATCATTCCTGAAGCCCGACCAGTCAAAACTCCTGAAAGTCAATTGGACAAGTCACGATATTGCGATTACCATCGATCTCCAGGTCACAACACCGATGAATGTCTAAGTCTATTGTCGGCTCTCCTGAAGTTGATTGGAAATCCACAAGTGAGAAAATTTACCAAACATGAAGGTAAAGAAAGGAGGCAAATAGCTCATGTTCCTGACCGAGATGAAGAAGACGAAGACGCAATGAATTCCAAAAGAATTCATCTACAACAAGGAGAGAAAGAGATATTCATGTTCGGGGCAGAAGGATCCAGGTCGGTTGACGACCGACTTGGAAAAAGAAACAGGGACTTCGATAGCCCCAACTCTAACCGTACTCCTCGAATCCCAATTCGGTTAGGCTCTATCCCCCGAATTAACACTAACCGAGAAGAGCCAACGTCCTCACGTCGGCAGACCAAAGCATACGCCAGAAGGGCGTACAACTCGGGGAAACAAGTAATGAATACCGACCTGAGGGACACAATTAACTCGCGCACATGTCCGATCACTTTCACATTAGAAGATGCGAGCTTGTTTGATCATCCTCATTCTGATGTGTTAATCATAACCGCTCCAGTTTGCGGAATTCCCGTTCATCGTATAATGGTGGATACCGGTGCATATTCAAGTATCATTATGCTTCAAGCCTTTAGAAAACTTGGACTTGATACAGCCGACGTCCATCCATGCAACGATAAAATACATGGATTCAACGGGAGCGTGTCTCTTCCGTTAGGAGAAATAACTCTTCCCATCAGGTTCGGACATGGACAAACTTCCAAGGTCATCATGGAAAATTTCAAAATCATGGACATCAACAACGAATACAATGCCATCATCGGAAGGACGGCCCTGTACAAATTGCGAGCAGCAGTGTCCATTTTCCATTATGCAATCAAGTTTCCGACCGCTGATGGTGAGGGGACCCATTATGGCGATCAGTTGGGAGCTCGTGAGCTAATCTTAGCTATCCCTTCTCGAGAAATCCATAATTTGGAGATGCACATTGATGAAAATGCAAGAGTGATCGACCGTACCCGAGTTCCACGAAGTCTGATTCCCGAAGACATTCAAGATGTCAATCTTAGAGTTGCCGCGACTCAATCAGAAGTCCAGCCGACATCGGCGTTTCCGACTTCAGGCCCATCCGAAGTTGTTACAACTCTGTCAGAAGTTCAGCCGACGTCAGCAATTCCGACTTCAAATCCCAGTGAGGAAGACCTTACCCGAGATAGAGGGAGAAGACCTGGAAAAGAACCAGTCGTGGAAGAAGATGAGTTAGATCCGCGAAGTCAATTTAAAGAGAAGAAGCAAGAAAAAAGAGCCGAACCCTTCGAAGAGGTAGAAGTCATTTATGTTGATGAACCCATTTGCGACAAGCCACTGCGTATTGGGGCCAATCTCCAAGAACCTATTCGAACCAAACTCATCTCGTTTCTAAAGTCCAATACCGACGTCTTTGCTTGGAAACACGAAGACATGAAAGGGATAGATCCAAAGGTAGCCTGTCATCGACTCAACATTGATCACACTATCAAACCCGTGATCCAGAAGAGAAGGAAACTCGGTCCAGACCGACAACAGGCCTTGGAGGAAGAAGTCAACAAGCTCATTGATAACAAGTTCATCAAAGAGGCCAAATACCCGACTTGGGTGTCCAATCCTGTCTTGGTGAAGAAAAGTAATGGGACATGGCGCCTTTGCATTGACTTCTCCGACCTCAACACTGCTTGTCCAAAAGACAGTTATCCATTACCTCATATCGACTATATGGTGGATGCTACCTCAGGTCATGAGTTGATGAGCTTCATGGATGCCTATTCAGGATACAATCAAATCCCGATGGATCCCGAAGAAGCTGAACACACTTCATTCTATTCAGCAAGGGGGCTATACTGC